TCGAAAGCATCATTGCATTATAACTGATATCAGCTAGTGACGAAAACTCAATATTTATAACCCCAACTCGTGATATGTAAACTTGACATTTTTTCGCTTACCACAATTCATAGTTTAGTGTGTAAAGGTTAATTAATCATATCGAAACCGTTATTCGAATTTTTTACTACTTTCTACAATTGTTTTATAACTAAGCTATGTTTCTTGATTGGCTAGTAAGTAGAGCAACATCGTCAGCATAGTATACTTTCCCCTTGATTTCTGTGTAACGTAACGTTGTGGTTTAATCTTAATACATTTATTCCAGCTGGAAGCTGTTCATCACCGAATCCATCTGAACTATCCAATACATCAGATTCAATTGTTCCTTTACAAAATGATCTAGTACAACAAACAGCTGAAATTAAAAATAATGAATATGTTGGTGTACCTGCTCACCATTCACCATCGTCACAATCAAAAATAAATGTATCAAATTCTGCCAGAGTTGATAATATTCATTCAAGTGATTCAATGCCTTTATATCCTGCTGTATTTCGTGAAGGTGTACCGAATACTAATTGGTTTGTTGGTGATTTACCACTTTACCCCTCATGGTCTATCTATGCACTTGGGAAATATTTCAGTTATTCTCATTCTTCCGGTAATTTCTACATTCCTCATTACATTATTTGTTTTTGATGTTTATTTATCACTGTACACGAAAGATTATGTATAATTTAGTTTATTGAAACTTAGAGTTTATTCAAGTCTATTAACTTCCCTTAGCTTAAACGTTTGTTTGAATCCATATTACTTTGATGGAGTTTTGTCCTCTGACCAAACAGTCCAGATTGGAGAACAAAACTCCATCAAACTCATCCACCTGAGTTACAAATCTCCACCATCCATATTACTTAGTTTTGATTGTATTATCACAGTAACTTGGAAATTTATTTTCACTAAATAATCAATAGACATATTTATTGAGAAAGTTAAAAAGTTTTTCATACATGTTCAATAAAATATGCATTGTCAAGTGAGGTGGAAAAAGTTTCAGCTTCGTTACATCAGTCCAAGACACTAGATGTTTCTGATGCTATAAAAAAATAATTAATAAACTTTAAGATAATCAGAAGTTTTGCTCACTTGCTTTCCGTGTTATCTTTAGTTTAAAGAGTTTGAGTCTATACTACAGTTATACATTACACTGGTCAGTGTATAAAGTAGAGTAATCTCATGTGTAATATTTTGTGCATTAATAGTTAGCGTTATTCTCATTATTGTCTGTTGTTATTGTACCACTTAAGTGTAATAACTGGTTACTTTTATATATATGGCGTTTATAAAACGAAAAAAATAACTTTTTTATCTCATATAGGATTACCTTGCCGAGGATTTATGCGTAACAGTAATTTTTTACTTCCATGGGATGTATCCTTAATGAATAATAATAATGCCCGGAATGGTTCTGAGCGTGGACGTTTTAGTAAGTCCGCAAGAGGAAGATATCGAGGAGGTAGAACAGGTAATCAATATTATCATTATCACTATTATTGTTATATTACTTATTCAACAACTACATTATATAATCTGGACACAATTTTACAATTGTCGGTCCATCATATATTATGTAAAATATTAGACATCTGATTGGCTTTAAAAAAATTATTGATATCAACAGTACTCTCTTGGAGTAAATAAGCAGTAAACAAATATGATTTATCCTAGTGCAATATTCTTTAGTACTATATTTTTAACCTACGAATCTACTTTGCAGCATTTTGTTTATAATAACATCACTGCTGAAATCAGTTAGTTTTGATTTACAATTTCAGTCTTCTTCCTTCTTGAAAATAATTTACTGTAGTATATTTTGTTGGTTATCATTTGTGAGGATACTTGATTAGTCTTAGAACTAATCAAAATGGCAACCATAGATAAAGTATCAATAATTAATGAAAAACAAATCAATATGATATTTACGTATTTTTCAACATTTCAATCAACAAAATACAACTAATCACTGTTATATACGACGTGGATAACACATATTAAGCATGACCCTGGCAAATGAAAATGGAATACTTGTAACATGCGGCTGAGTAGAAAAATAAATTTTTCTGAACTTTCATTGCTCAGTGTAAGCCAATTCTTCAGAGAAGACATATATTAGTAACAATCTAACCCGTTCCCAAATTATTTGAAATTTCCAAGTCAGACCTTGGTAATGATATTTACATAATAGCCTTTATCAATCCATTTGTAGTTCTTATGTAATTTAACTAAGTAACCAGATCTATGAAGAATACATGTGAAAAGTCTAACAGTATCTCGCGTCTTTCGTGAGAAGATAAGATTACTTTCACTGAATAGTCCATCTTGTTCCCTTGCAATAAAGATCTTTTGAGTCTTGAAATCTAATTTGATAAAATGATATGAAACAAATGTTGTCACGAATTTTATTTTCTCTATTAATCAGTCTTAACCAGAGTAAAAGCTGGGATATATGTGCTCGGCTCTTGGTAAATAATTCTCCTCTGGTAATATTTATTCGACACGTTTGATTTGTTGAATGTCTTGAGAACTTGTCATTTTGAGTAACAACAGTAATCACTTCGTTTGCTGTTAGTCGGAAATATTATAAATACTTGGTGTTCTAAAAATGTAAAGCTTAAAATGAATGTTTAATTTCAGACTGAGACTACAGTTATTAAATATTTTTTCGATCGCTTCATTATATCTATACAGAATCAGATACAGTGAAATTATTTATTGGTTTTGAAATGGAATGTTCAATGGGTCATCGATTCTTTATCACTGGCACGGATCGAATTATGGATGGCCCAATGCAAAGCAGTCAAGTTCGTCGAGCCGTTCACTCATTGTTAACACGTGATCTACCTATTTTCATGCCATGCCACTGTCATCACCCAACTTCACATGTATTGCTCGGTAATACACGTCATTCCACTAATCCTACTAGTGAATGGGATGTAGGTGGTAATACTAGTACAATGAAATCATCTAATTATACAAAAAATTCAACTGTCATGGCACAGTTATCACGAATATATTTAGCTATACCAGCTGCTCCTATTCAAGTTCGTTTTCAACCATGTATACGACCGGGACCAACAAAACTTACTCCAATCTTTCACCTAGGACATACATTAGATCAATGCTGTGATAAAAAATTGGATAGTGTGATAGATTCAGATTATGATCAAAGTCATCCAGTTGATGATGATAGTTATTTTTATGAAGATCGTATAAAATCTAGCACAAATTTGCATTCGGATACCGTTCGTAGTGAGAAATATCAATCACCAGGTTATGTAACATTAGACAATGGATATTTGTGGGTTATCCGGTTACCGTATCCTTACATCGTATTAATTATTGATAACTTTTTTCCAAGAGTTCACAAGGTTCTCCCAAATGATTTTTAAAAATACTGTTATGATGATACAATTAATTGATGAAGAGTAATTAGTTTGTAGAACCGATACTCGAATTTCAAACAAATACTTATGAAGATAAAAGAAACTACTGGTTAACTGACTGAATATAAATTAGAGAATGAAAGCTGTCATTTATACACAAAGTTATTGAGATCAAAACCCCGACTAGTGAAGGGTAATGTACTAGTGTTTTGAGTAGCATTTTATTTAAAGATAACATAATAATTCTGTCTCTCGGCCTGAAATATCAATAAAAAAATTTTTAGAATGTGATCTATATGATTGACCTGTATACACTTTGACTACATTACTTGCAGTACATATTATGCGTGGCACAAATCCTAGTCTTTCTTTTCATCATGTAACAAACTGTTGTGTGCGTGATTTACATACCACAGTACTTAAAAATAAACGTTTGGAGATAAGTGTATTTTAATATGTTTATGACGGTGTTAAGAATCTTAACGAGACTCTGGCCGTCATCTACAGTACAACTTCATAAAAATTGAGAATGTACTTCGTCTTCCCTTAGATCAGCTGACATGATTTGATTTAATTTTGAATGCCAATTAGCTATTTCTGATTGCTTTCGTCTGAGCTCATCGTGTAGTTCTGTCACACTTAATAATCTACTGAATATTTTTCATCTGTGTAAAGTATTCATAGAATTCACTACAGTCAAATCCTTCGAATACTTGAATCCTAATTGGTTCACGTCTCATTTGTAGTGTGCTCATTTTTTAAACGTGGAATTCCTCATAGTTGGTTTAATTACAAGTAAATATTAGACAAACCGATAGTCGAGTAACACCAACTATGGATACACGTAGGCTAGCAACTGCAGTAATATGACATCATTAATTTCGCTGTAGTCTGTTAACTATAGCCTTCATATTCAACAGTTAAGTTCTAGGATTTTAGGTCATGAATTTCTGAAAATGCTAAGCAGATTTGGATCTCATATGATCTTACTAAATGGAAATTGTTATACGGGATTTTAGCTTATGATATTGGCATACTTTGTGACATGACAGAACGTTTTGTTAAGCCCTACTAAAATGACTATGGTGCGAACTGGAACATCCGTTATTAACAGCCTTGTATCTGAATCCACAATTCAACCAGCAAGCTGGTCTCTTGTGGAATCGTTCTATTTCACAAACTATTTTTTAGCTGAAAAAATGTGACCCTCCTTAACATCTTTATAATAATGTTGTTTTTGTCTTAAAAATACAAGTCTTGCCTATCATGATGGAACGAAACTCTATCCGAAACCATTGTATCCAAGTGATTGCAATGAGTGGAAGTTATTAAAAGGATGTATAAAACTTGTAGCATAAAAAATGCCCACCAGATGTATTATATTTACTATGTGCAAATAAATTCTTTGATTTTTCAGAAAAATATATGTTTTTTTTTATTGTACTTCTATATCTTCGTTGAATATGCATATTTAGTTATATATGTAGTTGTACTAGTTTATACTACTATTTTGTGTTAATGGTTAGTATCAGTCAATACATTTAATCTGATTTACTTGAAAACAGTTACCTAAATACTCATGTTTCAATAAATTATAATTTTTACCACAAAGTTCATTAAATAAGTATAGAATTCACGCGATATATTTAATCATCGAACTTTTTGTTTAAAACTGCTTAATTCATACAAAGTAAAGCATGAATGAAGTAGGACAGTCGAAACAATCATATAATCTAACAGTTAATCAAATATCAAGCATCAGTCAGCAAATAAATTCATCAGGTTTCATCCATTTTGCAAGTCGTCTTATACTTTCAGGTCCAACATTACAACATCCACCAACCCACTGAGCCAAAGGAGGTTTATAATTTACTGAATAATGTAAGTGTTCATCATCTGAAATTTCACGACGTTTTGCCCATTTGATGGTGTTTTGAAACCAACTTTCGTGATTGTATTGTAGATTATCGCCATCATTAGGTATCCATAAACGACCATCATTTGCGTAAAATAATAATAATTTACTGAAAGTATTTTCTGATTCTTTACATGTTTGTGAATTTAAGTTAGCAAGCCCCTTACCAATACAATCATGTGGTATATTACAGTTAACTCCAACACCGAAAACCTAGTAGTATAATGTTGGACATGTATTATCAGTGTTTAGTGTGTGATAAGTTGGTAATGAACTAAATACAAATAAGTACTAATATGAACAATTTAACAGCACATCATAAAGTATACTCATACTTGAACTCGCTAAAAAAATATAATATATGATAGATTACAGGTACCTAATTCATATTTGAGCATTACTATTATCATTACATAAGTAGGAAATATTAAGCAATAGATTAGAACTCCACATCATGTACTTCAGTTTGGTCAGTTGAATAGTACCATTAGTGGTAAGTGTTGTCTCTGGATTAATTAACAATACATCATTTAGATTTATCTGGTTCTAATACATGTGTTTTGAACATTTGGAGGGAGATTGTTCCTTAGCACAGTTCGCTTACTATGCTTATGTATATAGTTGAAGTAAAATTCACCTAGAAAACAGTCTAATAAACCGTATATACATCTGAGGAGACAACAATTTTAATTTCATTTTAGATTAGAGTTTGACGTACCTGTTCACACTTTGCTACCTCACACGCGACTGAAGCTAGTAAATCCCCACCGGATGTTTCTTTACCATCTGGTGACGAAACTGATATCCAGCAACATGCCGATGGTAGTCTGCGCATAACTTCACATATTGATGAAACCTCTTTTAAAAGTGGAACAGTTTCCCATGCTATGAAATCTGCCCCTGACTCCAATAAAATTTGTGCTCTTGATAAGTGAAATTCCACTAGTTCAGTGAATGAAACTTTGTTTGCATATGACCCAGTATACTCTGATCCATCAGCAATGCATGCTCCGTATGGACCTAAAGATCCGGCAATAAGAACAGGCAATTTTCTTTGGAATTCACTTGCATTATCTGAATTGTTTTCTTCCTCACGTGCTCTTTGAGCTAGATGTACAGCAGTACGCATAAGGTTTTTCGCTTCTCCATCATTTATGCCAAGTGCCTTCACCAAGGTTGAAGGCGCTGCTTGATAAGTGTTGGTAGAAATTACATCACAACCAGCATGCAAAAAGCTTTAATATAACATTATGTATTGAAAGATCAGAAAACTCTGCAGTAGTATAGCAAATGTAACTAAATTATCTTATCAAGAATTAATAATAATCAAGTGGTGATTTGTAGACATAATTATCTTTTCAACTGACACTTAACTTAAGAAGGAATGTTAGTCAAAAGATAAAAACTGAGGACAGGAAATTCTTACTCCATAATATGTTGACCTGACGGCGGAACCGATCAGTGAATCTTCCTACTTGTAAAACTAGACACGATAGAATGTGTTGAATATTAGACTATTACTCTTAATGCGATTGATATACCATCTACATATTGAATTAAACATGATAACTGTGATATAACGACTTCTCTCAAAGTATACAATCTCTTACATTTATAAGGTGATAGGGTTATGAATCGGAAACAAAAGAATCCACAACTCCAGATTTTAATATGCTAAATGCAAAAAATTGTACTTATGCAGTTATAAGTTTTTCCGTAGTTGTAATCTGCAACAACGAAAACTGCTCTTTAAAAACATTGGTTTCTTATGGAAATTCTATTGGTGTATTTATGACGCCAGTGGTGAACTATGGGTACAACTATCTTTATTACGACTTGACGATGAAATCATATTATTGAGTTAATTACAGGTAATTGGTAATATCTTAAGCGAAAATAGCTTACAAATTCTTAATGATTGAGATTACAGACAGTATTCTTATGTAGTGCAAATGCTGTTTAACTTGGTAACTGCATAAATTCATATTTGTAGTGTATCGTTCAACTCCAATAGAACTGATAGGTGATGATAAACATAAATACAAAACTTACGACTTGTGTATTTTAACAACTAATTCTGGGTCGTCCATTAATAATCTGGAACTCCAAGCCAAATGTCCTTTTATTTGTAGATTTGATAATTTCTGACTTTCTGTTCCAAACCCCCCATCAAGAACTCTTATTTCAGTGAGCCACTGAGATACAAGTTCACTATTTGCCTTATACATGATCTAACAAAAATTGATTATACTTAGGAAAAAATTGATTGAATAAACGATGAAAACAGCAAACCGGTTCTAAGCAATTAAAAAAATTGTGTTTTCGAATACAAGAGACAGAATATTTACAAAAGCTGAGTATACTTGCTGTTCGTATTTGTTCTATAATTTAAGATTAAAAAGATTAGTTTAGAAATTCAATCCTAGGTAAGGTAGCGATTGAGAAACCGCCTAAACTTTAAAGAACTCAAAAGTCGAATCCAGTACTAGTCATACTGTGAACTATTCTCAAATTACGGCTACCCCAAAAAATGTAGATGCGATCTCGCTTTCCTCAAAGAAATTTATAACAGCTATATTATTTTAGTAGTTAAGCATCACCTGTAAATATATCCCCTGTCTATGAGTCACTTATACTCAAGTTCCTTAATGTGAAACAATAAGATATTTACTACTGAAAGACCGATACTACAAATAAGTGGATAAGATTGATGTCAGGCACCAAGCATAAGAATCTGTATTTGCACGTTAATCCGGACTTATTTGTACGATTAGATAATTAGAACAACCTGGTGGGATCTTAAACATTCGTAAGTAATTTTTCGTCTTTCGTCAATCATGTACCCTTTTTATCTGTTCATGCATTTACTAACTAATACTGACCTGGAAATTATGGTGCGATCAAACCTTTTAGGTTTATGAGAAGACTGAACAAGTTTATCATGAACCTACTTCATTGCTGAAAAATTCCCATTATATTAAAACATAATTATATGAACTTTATTGGTTAATTATTCAAAAACACTGGATTCAGCATCGATACTTATTAATCTGTAGTGACGTAATGCACATGAAAACCTCAATAATACATTATGAGGAAAAGTTTTACCATAGCTGAGGATTCTGGAACGACCAAATATTTTTCAGTCAGTATATCGACTGCACGTGATTCGGTCACTGGTTTGAACATGGATTCAAGCTTCCGTTACCCTAAATACTTCTATAGGTTTATGCAGCCGAAGATCATCACTAGACTTAAAACAAATAGTTGTTAACAGATGAATTCTGATGTCAGATGCAGCTAGTCACTCCTTTAATCCATTTATTTTGGGATGTGATGACGTTTATTTGTGTTTACAGAAGTCTATAGACTGGAAAGAACAGATTAATATGACATTAACGATTTTGATGACAAATGGTCGTCAAAGCATCAGAGATGCTGATCGCATTGTGAATGATTTTCTAGACCTTGTACAAGATTTACCAAGCAGCCTTAAAAGTGTAGATAGTTATGTACTATATTAGGACGCACCGTTGCCCCAAGGTTTAGTCACATGTTCATGATAGGCTTCTATGGAGGGAATACTTAGTCAGCCAAATTTAAAGAAATATCTGTGAACAGCATTTCTGAAATGAAAGACGTGAGAGACGTGGGGCTTCATAGTGTTAAGTTCAATAAATACATAACTACTAAACTGCTTGCTGTAATCCGTAACGCACCAACTCATTCGAATGTTACATACACAGTTAATCACAATGGAAAAGCAAGTTGCGATAGGCATATAGTAGTGGGTCGGCACATTGACTGAAGAATGACGTTTCCAAATGGTGAATATATATTGCGAAATGATAATAGTTTTCGTCAGCAGATTCAATCAATTCACCATCAAGGCTGTTCCAATTTCGAAACACATGCTGTTAAAATGGTTTCAACATTACCTTTAGATCCAATGCACACGTTATAGTGAAGTGTGACAAAAAAACTAATCAGCCTATGAATAGATTTCTATCACAAGAGACTTAGAAACATGAATAAATACGTGATTATGGATATAAATATGTTCATATCAAGTTGTGCCGCAAGTAATCCTCCAGACTTTCAGAGTAAATGTCGGATATTAGACTTCGTTTCAATATGGAAAGCGACAGTGTCGATTATCCTTTCTGTATTTAGGCCTCGTAATTCTTAAAAATTGTTCACCACAACTGTTGTAGCAGAATTTCAAGCATCTGTTAACGCATTCGAGATTACATAGCAGTGCGAAAGACTCGGTCGGGAAGTATTTACCTAAGTTTCTTAAAGAAATACGAATGGCGTCATAGGCCTGGAAACTTGGTTTACAATGTGCACTTGTTGAAGCACCTTCTAGATGACGTTTGTGCGCATGGAGCTTTAGATTCTTCTTGCGCCCCCCTGTTTGGGTCTTGTATGGGGCAGATTAAGTAATCAATGCGTCGCGGTTACGCAGTAGCAAAGCAAGCAGTCCAACGTTATGCTGAAAAGATATCATTTCGTGATAGGTTGAAAGCTAGCATATCGATCACTAATTTACAAACATTCGTTAAGTCAGACTCCGGAAAGCAATTAAGTATGCTTAAGAACACTAAAATAACTTCATTTAAGCCAGATAATGTAAAAATAGTACACGGAAAGCCTGAGCTAATCAATGACAAAGGAGAAAAAGGAATAACGAAGTTTAGACCATTCACAGGCCCACGTGATTATTTCTCTGAACCTTTTTATTCTAGTGACAGGAATATTTCTGTGCTCGGTAGTTAGTCATGAGCACATATGAGTTTTCATTAAGGATGTTGACTGTAAATGTATTGCCGTTAACCGTGTTAAGAATGCAGTAATTGTTCCATTGCTACATACGTTCATGTGAATGTATTTTTTAGTTCTTGCCGATTGTATTATTTTCAACCATTTTCTTACCTTTTGTATACTGTTTAGCTGACGAATAAGCAGTTCCTACATATCGACGTACTAAGCATAAGACATGTTTTAATTGCAGCTAAACAGTGGATTTTGGGTAAAGAACTTGTCTCTATCCTACGGACGTTGTGAATATGCACATGCAGAACAGTGCTTAACCGGATGATAAATGGTTAGCCTTGAAGTGCAAGATGATCTACTGTGCTCAGTTACAAACATAGAAACGGTCGTTCCCAACAGATAGTTTCCAGATTACAAAGAATTTATCGGTTTCAATCAACAATTTGTCTGGTTACGTGTCAGCGGTTTTACGGACGAAAGCACCTTGCCATTAAACAAAGAGAAGCCGAAAAGGTAAGTACAGTAGTAGAGGTGCATTGAGACGGAAAACAATTCTATTGACATGGATGTGGCCGAAATGCAGACTTGAAATATCCATGTTGAATATCCTGGATTTTGGTTGATGGACACTTTGATCTCACAACTTGCCAAGAAGGTGTGTTTTATTTAAGAATGTTAATAAACTAGTTCGACACAGTTGGATGCATCACCCTCAATGTCCGAGTCTAGGTGTTTAGATATTGTTTGAGCGGTCAAGAAAGTCACGTGCCCAGCTAATGAAAATGATTAAGATTTTATTAGCTGCATACTGTACTGCAGAACATCAGCCGTATGAGACTGAAGTGCGACCATTATGCAGCTAACGTCAAAGTCCGATGGGCGAGAACATACACGAAAATTTAACATCGTGTTATCAAGTTCGCAGTTCCCTTTGTCATCTGAAGAGGATCTGCGAACGTTGGACGTCCCTAGCAAGAAGATACGAGAGAAATTTAAACGTCAACAAAATTTATTGGATTATTTATTCGCATCACAGATGGCCATGCTGACGCGGTTAATGGATGATAGACCAGAAATGTCCACGCGCTTTATTTTGTCATAAGTAATGAAACCTGAAGTTGCCAGCTATTTCACACAACTTAGCGCTTCATTGAGAAGAGTATTTCAGAAGTGCAGGGTTTACAGCTACATACAAAGAAAGCTTTTCTAATCACGATATGAGAGACAAAATGCAAAAGCATCATCGAATAAAACAAGAACATATATGTGTTATTCTAAGGTTATAACAATTCACTGTTGTCCTACAGGTGATGTGTTCAGTATTAGCAAACACAACATTAATCATACTCCGAGTTGACAGTTGTTTAACAAGTTACGGCAATTTGATATGGTAGATTTTTGTGTTCAATAAATTTCGAAATTTAAAAGGGAGATTATTTTGGTTCGTAATAGTAACACTGAAGTTAAAGAAAGACATTATCATTGAGGTGTTGATGTTTGACTTATTTATTAATAAACCTTTTTCCTACCATGTGCTGAATTTCTGGTTTGCATTTGAAATTCCTGAACTAATTAATTGTATGTTTCAAAAGCATGTTTTGTTTCATATGCACTTATCAATAACGAAATATTTTTTATTAATAATCCATTACTTGTAGTTTCTTTTGCATATCTACATAAATGACATCACGACTTCGCACTTATGATGAAAATACAAAACGATCGTTGTTCGAGCATCTGTGTTATTAATGTCCTTGAACAATATGGTGTCTTTTTCTTGTTGATAAATGTCTTTAACCATGTACCATTTTTTAATGTCGATTGCAGTTTTCGTGTGGTTTCTTATAGAAATAAAGCGTTTAATCAAGCGTACAATGTAAATTAAACGAAAAGTGGAGGATTCGGTGTGAATTTGCGCGAAAAGTAAGTGATTCAGCAACATTTGAAAGACAGAAGGCCAAAATGTGAAATCCTTCATCATTTCCCCATGACAGTCTAAAAGAAAGCATTTTGTGGCATTTCCTTTATGTTATTCTTTTTTTTCAACCACAGACACAATTTGTTTCACATCGATATGTTGCTTGATTTGTCGAGATGCGTTCGGTGTAAGCTGCAAACCTGGGCAACTCCCCAGATCTGGGGTGATTTTCGGCTTTTGTGCCATTTCCCCTAAATTATTTATCGTACGATAAGCCACGTGGCTTACCCAATCGTTTCTAAAACCCGATTGGCTGGCCAGCAGCTGTAAGGGATGTGTAACCTGGCGTACCTACTTGTGATCCGATGCGAAAGGTTGAGCGAAGGTGTTTTGCTGCAGTAAAAGCAATGAGGGCAGCCTCAAACTCTAGGACTTACAGAATTATTTAATTTTGTAAATTGTCCCCCGCTATGGCACTGATTAACTCGGGATATACAAAGTTAGTCAACAGATATCTGTGATGATATCATCACAGGGGAGGTAATGGTTAGGTGATTTGAATAGCTCGAAATGGAACGAAACATGACCCTATGAATGACCTTCAATGAAGTTGTTTTAAAGATCTTTGATCACGGATAAGTATTCAGTAACAAGGATACTATTTTGGTCGAGCTATGTATGTTCTTGCAGTTTGTTTCCTAGTTGAGGTTTAGCTAGCCCTCGAAAATGTTTAATGATGAGTCTGATTCCTCATGTTCGGGCAGGGCATTCCATTCATTGTCTACTAAATGGGAAGAACGAAATTCCAATCTAAGTCGGCGAGATCGCTGATTTTAAACTTTTTTTTACCGTGACCTCGAAGGTGGTCTGTTTTCGAGAAGAAAAAATGATATCAGTTAGCTTGTTAATAAACATAGAGAATGTCAATATAAGGTTACCTTGCGTCCTACGATACGATGAGGAAGAAAGGTGTAAGCGTTTTTAGCTTTCATCGAAACGGTGTTTGCAAAGATATTTTAGGTCTTTTTTCCCACTGAAAATGTTCGATTGTGTTAGGTTCCTTAACAAGATATGGACTGACATCTCGGATACTCTAGATGTGCTCCTACGTAGTTGTATTTTATTTTTTGAACACGTAAATATTGGTACAAAAGAGCACCAGATGCACATGCTCCACACAATAATGGTGAGAATATGAGGGGTGATAAAGGGAAATGACGGAAGTTATCGAGAATACAACGTTCGAAGCATCCGTTCGTCACAGCAGTTGAATACTGGTTATAATTGTCCAGAACCTTGGGCGACTGCTGAGTTGCCATGTGCACTTTACTAAAATTATAAATTACTATTACCCTTTGATCTTTGTTTTCCTACACGCGTGGAGGCAATGTACCGTTGACAGAATACTGGCATATATTACGGTGTGCGACGTGTAGTAGCACATTCTCCGTAGAATTGCTTTCAAGGTTTTAGCTTCGAAACCCACCACTTATTGTTCTCCAGATTTTGATATCATCTACGAACAATATACTTGATGACTTGAGAGAAGAGGAGGTAGTGAGCCTATGATGTGTCTTGTTGTACTGCACTTGCCCATTACTGCACGGCATCTGTTATTCCAAAGCTCGAAATCTGCTGCACAAAACCTGGATGCGAAACCTCATCGAATACCTTACTAAGAATTATGGATGTCAAATCGACCGACAAACTGTTATCTTCGTCAACCACCAACCTGAGCTCGGACATTCTATTTCTCAGATTACGAGTGTTTAAGTAGTACTCATTTAAGTTATATCAAGAATAACTCGTTCTACTCATATAGGTTTCGGGAGCATTGAATCTGAAGACCTTACCACCTGAAAACTCTGCATCCTAATGTTTCCTTCGATATTTTGCTATCGACTTTGTAACTCAGTAAGGTCATTTTTCACTTGATTCCTTCCTCAAATGACGATCTAGTCAGACAGAAATATTCAAACTACTAGATTCGTTTCCATTATTTAGTATAACGTACCTTTAATCGTAACTTCTGAGTACGTATTTAAACACCCTTCTTAGTCCGGTCTCGCCTGCGTTCCACTTACATTGTCTTATTAGTTTTGCAATATGCACACCTTAAATCTTTCATTTCACTATATTTCTGATGCCAAATTCAACAAATTCCAAAGCACGTGCACGCTTTCTAACAGAGTGATTTTGTTTTACGTACGGATTTGATTTCTTCGAAAGCCGTGTTCGCGGTTTTCGATTGCGTTAACGTTTCATGCCTCGTTGGTTGTCATTCACAGTCATTTGATTCAAGCAGATCACTCACGCTAATGTTCGATGAGATCAGATCTTTCTTACTTTGGGACTTCAGTGGAGTACTCTGTCTCAAAGCGTGCGTTTATCAAAGACTTGTCAACTAAAAAGGCGCGTTTTTTGACATCAGTCGGGATAGTAACATCTAGACTTATTTGGGAACGCGAATGATTCATTTTAGTCTTCAGATACTACTGTTAAATCGTGACCACCAATATACAGCTATTTCTCACCCTTAAATTCATTTTGGACGTTTCACAAATTGGTATTTGACTTGTTTCCTATCAACACTGAGTACACTAACATATTCTTCGTTCTCAGTACTCATGTTACCAATTTAGCTCTCATAAACTTTCTTTATGTTCAACGCCAGAAGGCCGACTACTTCTTACTTAAACAAAAATATAAATATAAAAGCAATGAGTTTTAGGCTTCGGGAATTTTTTTGTTTAAACGAATACACGACTTTTATAGTCATCACTTAGCATTCCTACCTTCACTGTGTAGAAAGCATTTGGCCGTCCACATTTATGCGTAGAGCAGACCATCTTAAAAGATGTAAAAGCAGAGCAGTCGAAGGAAGAGCAACTCATAAGGGATTCGAAAAATGCCAAAACTTAACCGAAATAACTCAAGCTGAAGTAAACCATGTATGCTTTTGGTGCAACATATATAAATAGGTACATTTAACTTGAAGATGCCACAGGTATTCGGAGTTCGACAACGCTTTAATAACCAGTAACACCTAGTATGAAGCGTACCCACCAAGTGAAATCAAAAGACAGAAGCGAGGAGGTTCGGAGATATATTCGATAGACCATCAGTATTTCGAGCATCGTCTGATCTAATCTGGCTAGCGATTGCAGGAGTTGTTGAGCACGGCGTTCCCACTCGTGATCTGGTGAGGATGCATGATCGGGTGCCTTCAGCTAGGTGTGTCCATTGAAACTAGTGTGGTCAGCATCCAATGTCGAAAACTTATAGAGCTATTTTGTTTTGTGGATATATTAACCGCTACAAACTCACGAATAATACGAAATTACTGGGATGGTAGATTACAAGTGGTTTTGATTCAAGGAACAGCAAAGATTTGTTCAAACTTTGGAAATGTCAGTAATAGTGGCTGGCATTAATTTTTACGACCTCCAATTTACAATCCGAGGACTTCGATTAGTTTCATTCTGTGCTTGACAGTTTCGAAAACCTCGTCAATCAGAAGGGTTGGGCATTGAGTCAGCGACCCTATTCAGTAGAAAATACGCTGACACGAAATAGCAAATTAAGCCTTTGAAATTATGGCCTCTGCGTTGAATGATCTTCATCTTGAGAAGTTATGACACTTCATGGTGAAAGCAAAGATTATTCAGAAGTTGTAACAGCATAGGTTGGTTGGTTAAGAGTTGACCCCAAACAACCAAGCATATGTCCAAACTTAAACCAATTAATACTCGCGAACAATCGCGCGCCGTATATATACCTAAAGACCTAAGCAATTGCACGCACGTCTGGATAAGATGTGATAAAATAAAATCACCACTCAGTCCTCCATTTGAAGGTCCTTTCAAAGTCGTCTCAAGAAAATCTAAATATTTCGTGATAGAAAAACGTGGAAACATCGACACAATAAGTATTGATAGGCTAAAGCCGGCTTATCTAGATCATGAACCACCATTCGTATTGTTAGATCGTTTAACTGACAAATCCATTACGGAATCGAAATGTAAAGATGATAAATCTTTACAAATGACTAAAACGGTTCACTGGGCACATCCAATTAGTCAGTCAAGGATGTTGACAGTTTCGGCTGCAGGATAAAATCTAACCACGTAGCTAATCAGACCCTGCATCTACTTAAAAATAATTATTTTTCCTCATTCCGCCTCACCTACAACTTCCCAGACCTTTTACCTTTAATATATAAGTTTTATGTTAAATATTTTTTTTAAATACTGGACACATAAGCTAAGTATTCCGAAACGATGGCTGAGGATTTTAATCAAACTCATACAACTAACACTGGCAAATACAACGATATCAAAAAGCAACCCAGTCGAGTTTTATAATTTCTTTTTCTGGTTAATTAACTATGTTGGCTGTACTTCTTATATATCTATATACATTTTTCACGTAGACTGGCTATACATATATACCATATGAACTACTTCTAAAAGTTTTCGGTCGAAGATATGTTTAGTAGCTTGATACGATTAATACTACTATTAATAAGTGGTTTTTTAGACAAAACATTTTGGATTAAACCATGGCCAAGTACTTATTAAAGTTCTCATCATTTTTTTCATGTTTAGGAAACTTATGTAATGACTTAACCAGTTTTCCTGCAGCATGCTTTGTAGTGTGATCATATAACCCATCTTTATTGGCAATATTCAGATTTTTTTTTTTAAAATTCTGACATTTAAGAATCAATAACCGTGGAGATATAGTACAGTGCGTTACTGTAAGGTTACTATGTTAGCCGCATTGATTCCGCATACCTAATTTTAAACACAACTTATAAAGGAACTCTTAAGTAATCATAACATTGAACTAACGATATGACTATCATAGCTATGTTAACGTTAAACCAATTATTATTAGTGGTCCTGACAAAACCCTGGAACTTAACACTAGCGTTATAAAAAAGACATGTTATGTCAGTAACTTTTATATATATATATATATATATATATATATATATATATATACTTTTTCTCTCGGTTTAAGTATAATGTAAAATGGAAATTACAAAACTTGTAGATTTTTTTTCTATAGTATTATTAATAATCCAAACAAAGAACTTGTACTGTTCCAATATGGCATTCTGAAATATCAATCAGTCCTCCTGTTATCTTTCTCTCATATCTGAGCAACTTATGGCCAACAAACATCGTATTGAAGGGGGTTTCGATGAACAAAAACGCATGACCCACACGCACTCGAACCTCTGCCCTCCTGAATGCTAGACCGAGTGCCTAGCCATTAGGCCACATCAGACCACGAGGGGGTGACTGCAATCTTTCCTTTTACCGATTAATCATTCATAATACTAATGAGTAATAAGACTTCAACACTTCTAAGGTGCAGACAAATTCGTTACTTTGATGAATTGACGAAATATTGCCTCAGTATATCATACATATTTAAATCAAACCAGAAAAGAGTATTTGACACAACTGTACTTGATCCTCATACTCTACACAATTTTCTCCCCTCTTTAACCGTATATTCTCTTCCGTTTTATGGAGTAAAATTATGCACCCTTGGTTACGTACCTGTTTATAAAAGG